CGGCTGCTGCTGGGAATGCGCCAACCTCGAGGGCCAGCTCTGCGACCTGGACCCCAGTGCTCACTTCTACGGGCACTGCGGCGAGCAGCTTGAGTGCCGGCTGGACACAGGCGGCGACCTGAGCCGCGGAGAGGTGCCAGAACCGCTGTGTGCCTGTCGCTCGCAGAGCCCGCTCTGTGGGTCCGACGGTCACACCTACGCCCAGATTTGCCGCCTGCAGGAGGCGGCCCGCGCTCGGCCCGCTGCCAACCTCACTGTGGCACACCCGGGGCCCTGCGAATCGGGTACGCACGGCCCGGGGCACCCACCCCAGCACTTAGGTTTCCTAAAGGCACTGCTCCCCGACCCCTGACGGCGTTGGTCTCTGGCCAACAGATCAAAATAGATAAGGCCATAGAGACCTCGAGTCCAGTATAAAACCCTGCTCTCGCTACTGGTCCATAGAAGCTGCCACCTGAAGGTGGGGGTGGGGGAGTGGAGTGGAGTGAGGGTCCCAGGCTTCGTCAGCAAGCTGCATGCGCTGAACCACGTGAAAGCTCCAGAGCTGGCTGGCAGGGAGAGACAGGTCCTCTGAGGGCGCGGGCACATAGCCTATGGTTTGCTCAGAACCCCTCGTCCACACACACTTTTCCCAGACCAGTGGAGTCCAGGCAGCAAAACGGGTTCCTGTGAGATGCAATCACGTTTCATTTGGGCAGATTCTTAGAGCAGTCTGTTCACTCAGTCTCCCCACCTCTCTCCTTTCTTCTGCGTTTAGGGATTAGTGAAGAGGAGCAGGAAGCTCAGCTAGTTCTCTCTCTATCCCCGGGGACTGGGGGCCATTCAGGCTTCTAGCTTTCCTTGGCAGCTTTAGTAACTTTCACTTCCTGAGCCCCGGCTCTGTGTCTGGCTCGGCTGGGGCAGTCAGAAAACAAACACCCCGCGGGGATCCCAGCAATTTCCTGCACTCCTGCAGGCCTCCTGCCTGTTGCACAAGTCCAGCTTCAGGTTCTCCGCCTTGCGGTGGGACTCCCCCAGGGGGTCCCGCTGTGTAGGGAACGGCTGCTTTTCCGCCTTTGGGAACTGGGCCTGTTTAGAAAAGGGGAACGGGTATCTGGAAGGTTTTAGTTATAGGCACTGCGGGAAAGGCTGGGGAGGGTGGAATGAGGACAGGAGAGCAGTTGGGGACAGAGTGGCTGCCAAGCTACAGTGTAGGTGTGTGTGCTTGTTCGTGCATTGAATCTGCATGAGGTCCTATATGCACATGTGCATGTATATCTATCTCCACGTCTGCGTGGTACCCTTGTGTGTACCAGCATCCACATCTGTGTGTACCTGTGTGTGTCATGGTGTGTTTATGGATATGTATTTACCTCAGCATATATTGTGTTCTGCCACAAGCATGTCCACAAAAATTTGTGTATCATGTGTTTGCCAGACTGGATGCCTTTGCTGGGCCATGCTATTCTCAGACCTCCCACCTTCACCCCCAGGGCCCCAGATCGTATCACATCCATATGACACTTGGAATGTGACAGGGCAGGATGTGATCTTTGGCTGTGAGGTGTTTGCCTACCCCATGGCCTCCATCGAGTGGAGGAAGGATGGCTTGGACATCCAGCTGCCAGGGGATGACCCCCACATCTCTGTGCAGGTAGAGACCGGTGGGAGAGGCTTCCCTCAGGCAGCCCAGGGCCCTCCAGAAGGACCTCGCTGATTCCTTGCCTGGCTCCAGTTTAGGGGTGGACCCCAGAGGTTTGAGGTGACTGGCTGGCTGCAGATCCAGGCTGTGCGTCCCAGCGATGAGGGCACCTACCGCTGCCTTGCCCGCAATGCGCTGGGTCAGGTGGAGGCCCCTGCTAGCTTGACAGTGCTCACACCTGGTAAGGGGATCCCTGAGCTCTGGGGGTTGGAGGGATGGTGCTGGATTCCAGCTGTGAATATGTAAGAAACAGTCCATGTGTCTGTGTGCATGTGGGTGCATACACAAGCATAGCCTTCTGCAGACTGGGCTATGTTGGTACTGACAGCCCCTCTCTCCTGTTTTCTCTCCTTTGCCCACGTGTGTTTGCAGACCAGCTGAATTCTACAGGCATCCCCCAGCTGCGATCACTAAACCTGGTTCCTGAGGAGGAAACTGAGAGTCAAGAGAGTGACGATTACTACTAGCTCTGGCCCATGGGGGTGGGTGAGCAGCTATAGTGTTCATCCCTGCTCTTGAAAAGACCTGGAAAGGGGAGCAGATTCCCTTCATGGATTGCTTTCATGGGGATGATCATGGGAGGCCTATTTAACTCCAAGGTAGCAGGGTGTTAGGGGAGAGACAAAAGCTGGAGGAGGTTAGGGAGAGAGGCTGAGACCAAGACCAGTGGGGTATAAAAGGGCCCATGCAGGAGATGCCCTGGCCAGTAGGACCTCCAACAGGTTGTTCCCCAGGCTGGGATGGGGGCCAGAGCAGACACGGAGGTGCAGGCACCAGGATTCTCCACTTCATCCAGCCCTGCTCTGCCACACTTCTAACTGCCCTTCCTCCCAGGCCCTGGTTCTTGCTATTTCCTGGTCCCCAACGTTTACCTAGCTTGTTTGCCCTTTCCCCAAACTCATCTTCCAGAACTTTTCCCTCTCTCCTAAGCCCCAGTTGCACCTACTGACTGCAAGTCCCCTTTGCTGTCTGCCCTCTTTTGCACAAGAGAGAGCACAGCAGAGCGTGGCTTAGTTCAGTGCAGAGAGATGGGTGAGGCTAGCTCCAGATCTTATACCGCTCTGTACTGGACAAAACCTAGCACAGGGCTAGGCACCAATAAAGATTTCTAATGATGCACAGACAGATGCACGGACAGTTTATGCGGATGTGCACATGAAAACTGAATATCCCTGGGAGGCCTCCCACACTAACAGAACTCTGGCTTCTAGAAGCTGCAGGGCCTGCTCTCTAAGCACATGCCTGCCAGATGTACAGAGAGAAGGTTTGAACTTGGGCCTATCCTGCCTTTGAGGGAGGGAGGCTGGAGCCATTTGGTTGGAGGGAAGTTATCTTCCCGGTATGCCCTCCATTGGGGCTGGTATACATTACCTGCTTCTGTGCTCATCTTACTCCAAACCCTTTCCCAGGCCAGAATGGGGAATCAGGCCTATGTGGGTAGGCCCCCAAAATGAATGCATAGAGAGAGGAGGGTAGAAGTTTGGTCACCTGTGTGGTCCATACTCTTCCCCAGTTCCCATAGGAATCTATCCTTTTCCTGCAGAAGCCAGAGCCATGGTAAGCCTGTTTCCTATCTGCCCCAATTGTGACCTGTCCTCTCTGGCTTGGGGTCCCCAAATCTCTTTCCTCATTCTCCTTACCTAGCTCAGGGACACTGGTGAGACTCAATGTTTATTTAATGATTGACGGAGAGAATGAAAGCATAAGTCAGCTAGGCCGAGACACTGTGTGTGGATGGCGACAGCCTCCTACACGCCAGCGCTCCACCCAGATCCTGGCGCCACTGCGGGAGGGCCTGCCCTTGGCTCAGCGTCAGAGTTTGTCCTCTGGGGCCCAACGCAGGGAGCCTGGCCTCATGGGAGGGGCGTGGTCCGGAACTCCAACCCCAGGGCCTGCTTGGCCGCCCCTCCCGCGGCTACGCACGACTCCATCTACTGCTGCCTTGCCCCGGGTCCTTAAGCCAGCGACAGTGTTTATTGCCGAACCCAGGCTGGAGCCGGGCGGCCCCAGGAGCCGCGCACAACAGCGCAAGCGGGTTGGATACTGGGAGCCGATTCCAGGGCGCCCACAGAAGCAGAATCAGAGGGGTAGGCGGGGGTGGGGCGTGCTGTTCGGCACCGTGGCCAAAATCCACTCGGCGCTGAAAGAGGGAACTTGGGTGTGAGTCCCAGCATCGGCCAGGGAATCCGCCCCTAGCTTGTTCTTCGCCTAGCTGGGCTCCAAGGCGCCCTCTGCGGGCCCATAGCCCCTACCGCGTCCACCTGCAGAGCAGAGGCTCCTCACCAAAAGCCCACCCTACCAGAGAGGGTCACGCAGGTCCCGGGGAATCCGTACTCCTTGATCGCGTTAGCCGACTTTGTAGGTGTTCAGGAGCAGCCTCCTAGCAGCCTCAGTTTTCCCTTCCGCCGCCCTGCTGGTTCAAGCCCCACATCCTGGAATGGGAGAACTGTTGTCCACCGCCCCCTCCCTCCCCGCACCCCGCCTCTGCTGCAGCGGACCCGCTTTAATAACGTCGCTGGAAAGTGACACGCGATTTATTATTAAAGTAATGCGGGCGCGGGGACGGGAAAGGTTTAATAAACGTGCTGAGATGCCGAGGATTATTCACCGCAAATAAATGAGAGCGCGGGCGGCGTTTTAATAAATAATTTCCCGCTGCTCCCGGGGGAAGGGAGGGGAGGGGAAGGGAGGAGGAGGGGGAGGCTGAGCCGCTGCCAGAACTCCCGGTTTCGCCTCCCCACGGGCTTCCAAGCCATCCCCGGTTTCGTGTCCTAGGTTGCTCACACCCGAGATCTGAGGTTCCACGAGCGCCGACCCAGAGTTGCCCAGGCCTGAAAGCGGGAGAGGCTCAGTCACACCCTACATTCCCCCACCTCCGAGATTTTAAGTATAGTCCGCTTGAAATCCCTGGAATGCTCTTTCTTCTGGCTCCTACCCAGAGATCTGGAGTCCGGACCAACCGGGGCAGGAAGGGTCCGTCGGACCAGCCCCTCCCAAGCCGAGGCTTCCAGGTCTCAGCCGGGCTCTTCTTCTTGCTTTTAGCTGAGCCGAGCTGGGCATGCCTCTCTCCTCCATCTAGGGCAGGGTGTGAAGCGGAAGCCAGAGGGGGCTGTCTGAAAATGACCTTGATCCCCTCCTCGGGCTGTCGTGAGGAGGAGAGCCGCTTCGCCTGGCTGCTCGTCATCGCTAAGGCTCCAAAGAATGGTTGCGCAGCCGTGTTGGTATAACCGAGGGTGTCCTGGAGAAGCCCAGCCCCTGGCGCTCTGGTGACCTGGGGGGTCGATGTACGGACTGGGCAGAACTGAGCCCGAAGCCGGAGAGCGCCCCTGAAAAAGAAGCCTGGAAGCCCGAGAGATGAACCCGACTCAGAGAGGGCAAAGACTGCAGACCTTGGGGACCGAGGACACGCTCACCACGATGGTGGGGGCTGGGGGGAGGGTGCGGGCGGTGGCGTGCGGGGAATCGCCTGGGGAACACCTGGCTCTGCAAGTTTTGTGCCTTAGCGGAAAGAGGCGACATCTCTGGCAACTTGGGAGTACAGGAAGTGGCGAAGGAGTGCCATCTGCTGGATCATTCTGGTAGTGACACTCAGACCTGAGCCAGGGGCCTCGAGACAGTTTACTTAACTGGAAAAATCTGAGTAAAAAAATAGATGCTTCAATTTGTATTCATTTAGTGTATGTGAATGTGCACGTGTATGTGTACCATATATTGATATGATATCTATATGTAAAATCTAATATATCCATAGTAGTTATGTGTGCATTGTATGTATACATGTATACATCTAGATGCATATTATACATGTAGTTTTTTTTTGAGATGGAGTCTTACTCTGTCGCCCAGGCTGGATTGCAGTTGTGCTATCTCAGCTCACTGTAATCGGGTTCGAGCGATTCTCCTGCCTCAGCCTCCCAAGTAGCTGGGATTACAGGTGCGCATCACCATGCCCAGCTAATTTTTTGTATTTTTAGTAGACATGAGGTTTCACCATGTTGGCCAGGCTGGTCTCGAACTCCTGATCTCCAGTGATCTGCCCGCCTCGGCCTCCCAAAGTGCTAGGATTACAGGCGTGAGTCACCACGCCTGGCCTACATGTAGGTTTTGTATGTATGTATGTGTGTGCAAAAGTATATATGGGTGTATTATTATATGTATATGTATAGACATTTATTTTCAAGTATATATTCCATTATGTATCATTCATTCTTTCTTTCTTTCTTTTTTTTTTTAAGAGACAGGATCTTGCTCTGTCACCCAGGCTGGAAGACAGTAGCACTTTCATAGCTCACTGCAGCCCCAAACTCCTGGGCTCAAGTGATCCTCCTGTCTTAGCCTCCTGAGCAGCTGGGAATTACAGGCACGAGCCATGATGCCTGGCTGTGTCATAATCTTTCTACAAATATTTGTTATGTACCAGCACTGGGGCTACATCAAGGGAAAAATATTGCCTGTAACCCAAGCACTTTGGGAGGCTGAAGTAGGAGGATTGCTTGAGCCCAGGAGTTCGAGACCAGCCTGAGTAACACAGTGAAGCCCCGTCTCTACAAAAAACATTTAAAAAAATTTGTTGGGTGTGATGGCACACACCTGTAATCCTAGCTACTCTAGCAGCTGAGGCAGGTGGATTGCTTGAGTCAGGAGTTCAAGGCTGCCAGTGAGCTATGATTGCACCACTCCAGCCTGGGTGACAGAGCCTTAAAAGAAAATTGTTCCTGCCCTCATGGAACTTGTATTCCAGTCTAAGATGTGTATGTATACTTATGTTAATTATGTATATTTATATTTCCAGGATCATGCACACACGCACATATAATACTGTCTAACATGTGTATGTGCGAGGAGTAGATAGGCTTAAACTCTGGTAGGCCTGGAGATTCCCTGGTTTTTTGCTCACAATCACTGGTCCTGTCACCTGGAGCTCTATTCTGAGCATGAAGGCAGCTGAGGGCAGAGAGAAAGAAGCTAGAAACATAGGCCTGTTGCCTCCTAGGATGCATTGTGGTTATTTCCTCAGCCTTCTGATTGACTGAATTCTTTCTAAACTGGGAACAGCTGTGTAAGTCCATGCGTGGTAAGGAACTGTTAGTGCACATCAAGTCTTTCCTCTGCTCAGTGCTGGGGAAGGGTGGGAGTGGGGTCTGGGAGGCTGGGGTAAGAGGCTAGGTTCTCTGAGGGCACTTAGAGACCGAAAGGGATAAATTCTGGGAGGCAGTGAGCTCTGGGAGTCACTTGCGGATAATGGGAGGTGGTTTGAGGACACTTGGGGAGGGATGGGGTGGTAGGATAGAGAAGGGGGCGGAAGTGAGTAATGAGGTTGGGATTGGAGATGGAGTTGGGGTGGGGTCAGGGCAGAGATAGAGGCTTTGGTGGCAGGGATACACCTGTCTGGGGGTGGAGCCTGGAAGCCATCTTGGGGGAGTCATCCCTCCCTCCCCACCTCCACCCCCACTCTCTCTCTAAGCTGGGCCCCAGTTTAGCCCTCTCTCTGCTCAAGCTGGCTCTCAGATGCGCCGGGGCAGAGGAGGAGAGCTAAGGCTCCAGGGCCTGGCCTGGCTTAGGTGACTCACTTAAGTGGTGGGCGAGGTGGGGCAGGGTTCACAATACCGGCATCCCATGAAGCCTTGTCCCAGCCACCTGGGTCATTTCCCACCCAGCTGCCATTACCAGCTTCCAGTATGGGCTTGGCCCAAGGGGTTCAAACAAGGGTGGGGTGTAGACCTGCAAAGGGTCATAGAATATCCACCCATTCCACCAACACACACACATTTCTAGGACTGAAGTGGGAAGGTGCTTCTGAATCATTTCTTCCTTTCCCTGCTTTTGCTATATGCTTTCCAGATGCAGTCAAGTCTGGGAGTCTCCAGGTGCCACCTCAACCCTTGGTCTATGGTAATACTCATACCTCTCCCCTTCCTTCTCACCCACCCTTGCTGGACTACCAGGGTTTCTGCCCCTTCACTGCATTTTCCCCTTTCTTCAGGGCCTCTTTTTTCCCCCCAGGGTTGAGGCCTTAGATCCCTGGGCTGTGTCCATGCTGGTTAGGGAGTGGGGTTGGGGTGGGGGGGATTGCTAAAAACGCAAGCTAGTTCCTGGCCTGGATTTATTTTTCTGATTGATTTATCTTTTAGAGGCAGGGTCTTGCTATGTTGCCCAGACTAGACTTGAAGTCCTGGGCTCAAGAGATCCTTCTGCCTCAGCCTCCCGAGTAGTTGGGTCTATAGGCACATGCCACTGTGCCTGGTCTGGATTTGGTTTTGACATTTACTCTGCCATTTGGGCAACTGAAGGCTCTCTGGACAGGGTGGACAGTTATGAAAGTCCAGTTATGGTGACAAGAGTTACCCCACAATCAAATCTCATCCCATTCTCTTAGTGGGGAGAACCTTGAAGTACTCAGTACCTTCACTGAAATGAGGGCTGGAGTCCCCTGGGAGAAAAGGCAGGGTCTCTATGAGAAGTGGTGACAGCTTGAGAGAAGTAATGGAGTCTCCCAGGATAAGGGTTGAGGACTCTAGGGACAATTGCTTCCTGCTACCCCCACCCCAAGAGCTGGAGTAGGGCTGGAGAAGGCCCCACAGTTCTCCTGGGCCTAACTCCTTGGTGTCAGAGGGGTTAAGTTCTAGGGGCAGTAGTGGGGGGTTTCTAGGGGGAGTAATCTCTGAAGGGTAATGGTGGGTCTTTGCACAGGAGGTTTTGCAGTATGGGATTGAGTCTCAGTTCCACTGCTTTTTTTTTTTCTTTTCTTTTCTTTTTTTCTTTTCTTTTATTATTATTTTTTTAAGTCAGGGTGTCTCTTTGTTGCCCAGACTAAAACGGCACGATCATGGCTCACTGCACCCTTGAACTCCTGAGCTGGAGCAATCAATCCTCCCGCCTCAGCTTCTTGAGTAGCTGGGAGTACAGTCATGCACCACCCCACTCAGCCAGTTCTACCGCTTTTGAAGTGCGTATATTGGGTAGGTTTCTTAACCTTCCTTATTCTGTGTCCTCTTCTGCAATATAGTGATAAAATTTACTCCATAGGGGTTATGACAAGGATTAGAGATCTTATAAGCAATGTGTCTGTAACAAAATAGGTGCTCAACAAACGTCAGTTTTATTATGCAGTACTATTATGGGGCAGATGATCTGCATGGAGATGGGGGCTGGGTGCCCAGTGCAGAGCTTCCTGCTGAAGTGGGTTTGTTGGAGAATGGGGTGATTGCAGTCTTGGCACCTGCCTGGAGGAGGCCTTAGGAATTGGGCCTTAGGAAAAGGGGGAAGGCTGAGGCAGGATAGAGATGGGCAGGGACTGGGCTTCCAGAGAGCTGAACAGTCTTCACCCCCACCCCTAGCCCTCCTCAGGGAGCCCTTGTCAGAACCCAGGGCTCTACCTCTGGGCTTCTGAGGAGGGGCATCCCCCAAAGTCACCTCCATCCATCTCTTTTATCTGGGCTGATGAAGGGCTAGAGCTCCAATGGGGCCTCTGATGGGGAACAGATACAGACCAGGCGGAAGCAGCCGGAACTCTGCTGGGCTGGAGCTGAGGACTGGGCCAGGGGGTCAGTGAAGACAGATAAAGCTCAGAGCAGCTGGAGGCTCAAGGGACCTGGGGCGGGGGAGCAGCAGGGGCTGAGGGCCGGCTGTGTCCTGGGAGGAGGCAAGGCCGGAAGCTTCTGATGGGGACCAGTGTCCACCAAGGACTTCAAATGACCAGACAAAGCCTTTAATGACTCTTTGGGAGGAGGGAAGTGGGGACGGAGCTGCCTCCCCCAGACACGGGTGCAGGAAGGCCAAGGTGCCTGCTGAGAGTGAGGGCTGGTCCTGGGGGAAGTCAAAACTTAGAACAGGCGGAACCCTCCAGGCACAGGGCAGCGGTTCTGGGGCTGCCTTACCTTTAAGGGAGAGAGTGATGGGAAAAGGATTGGGAAGCGATTCTGTGATTTTAGTTCCTGTTTTAATTAACTTTGAAGGGCTTGGGGCCTCCCTGAACGCCAGGGAGGGGAGGAGAGCAGACATTTATTTTCCTCTTTTCCCTTTTAAAGACAATTTTATTAAATCACTTTGTTTTCATTCTGGCTTGAACATAGGGCGTTTAAATGGAAAAGTAATTATTTCACCTCGTTTGCTTATGGAGAGAGGGGAGTCAGGAAAGGGAGGGATGCCAGTGAGAGGAAGAGGCTGCAGCCTCAAGCACAGTGTGCACACAGCGTGCGTGCACACACAACCATGCTCACACTTACACCATAATCCACATCCACATATTTCTCACTCTAACACACATGTGTACAGTCCCAAATGCAGACACTTCAGTATTTGCACACACACATCCACATTCTCCTGACACACACTCCTTCACCACAGCCATACTTACAGACAGAAGCACTCTCTCTCATGCACACTCACAGCACACTGTGCTCACAGTACAGGCACCGTCACAGTACCCTTAGATACCTTCCAAGCACCCGTGGGTGTGTATGCTTGCACCTGTTCACACACGTGCACGCACGCACACACACAACCCCAATGCAGTCTAGTACTTCCAAGCCTATTGCATTACACCATCAGAAGTACACACAGTTTCAGACACACAGTTACACAGATGCCCATTCTCAAATACACAGGCACACCCTGACAAGCAACCTTGGGGACAGACATGTGAGGAGGGCATTGTCATGG